CAGGGTCTAAGTAATGGATTCAGATCTGTCTTTAGTAAGAATGAATTCCTTATCTATTCTACTTAAAGGAACATTCTTAACAAAATTATACCAAAGAATATTTTTGTTATCAGTAGCATCATAGGTCAAATCTTGCCTATATCCCAAAAATTTAGTCACTTCTCCCATCGTATTTTCACCAACAGTACCAGACAGAAGTAAAACCTTCCAAGCTTTGTCAAAACAGATATTAGAAATATTAAAAAAGAGTCCATACGATATTCCTGTTCGCAAACAAGATCTTCAGAGTCAGTGGAAGTGTAAGTAGAAGTGGTGACTTCTTCTTCAGAAGTGTGAGAGACTGGGTAGGTAGTGGTACCGGTGGTAACATTACCTTCAGAGTCGGTGGAAGTGTAAGTAGAAGTGGTGACTTCTTCTTCACTGGTGTGAGAGACTGGGTAGGTAGTGGTACCGGTGGTAACATTACCTTCAGAGTCGGTGGAAGTGTAAGTAGAAGTAGTCAATTCTTCTTCACTGGTGTGAGAGACTGGGTAGGTAGTGGTACCGGTGGTAACATTACCTTCAGAGTCGGTGGAAGTGTAAGTAGAAGTAGTCAATTCTTCTTCACTGGTGTGAGAGACTGGGTAGGTAGTGGTACCGGTGGTAACATTACCTTCAGAGTCGGTGGAAGTGTAGGTAGAAGTAGTCAATTCTTCTTCACTGGTGTGAGAAACTGGGTAGGTAGTGGTACCGGTGGTAACATTACCTTCAGAGTCGGTGGAAGTGTAAGTAGAAGTGGTGACTTCTTCTTCACTGGTGTGCGAGACTGGGTAGGTGGTGGTACCGGTGGTAACATTACCTTCAGAGTCGGTGGAAGTGTAAGTAGAAGTGGTGACTTCTTCTTCAGAAGTGTGAGAGACTGGGTAGGTGGTGGTACCGGTGGTAACATTACCTTCAGAGTCGGTGGAAGTGTAAGTAGAAGTAGTCAATTCTTCTTCACTGGTGTGAGAGACTGGGTAGGTGGTGGTACCGGTGGTAACATTACCTTCAGAGTCGGTGGAAGTGTAAGTAGAAGTGGTGACTTCTTCTTCACTGGTGTGAGAGACTGGGTAGGTGGTGGTACCGGTGGTTACATTACCTTCAGAGTCGGTGGAAGTGTAAGTAGAAGTGGTGACTTCTTCTTCAGAAGTGTGAGAGACTGGGTAGGTGGTGGTACCGGTGGTAACATTACCTTCAGAGTCGGTGGAAGTGTAGGTAGAAGTGGTGACTTCTTCTTCACTGGTGTGGGAGACTGGGTAGGTGGTGGTACCGGTGGTTACATTACCTTCAGAGTCGGTGGAAGTGTAAGTAGAAGTGGTGACTTCTTCTTCAGAAGTGTGAGAGACTGGGTAGGTGGTGGTACCGGTGGTAACATTACCTTCAGAGTCGGTGGAAGTGTAGGTAGAAGTGGTGACTTCTTCTTCACTGGTGTGCGAGACTGGGTAGGTAGTAGTACCGGTGGTAACATTACCTTCAGAGTCGGTGGAAGTGTAAGTAGAAGTGGTGACTTCTTCTTCACTGGTGTGAGAGACTGGGTAGGTGGTGGTACCGGTGGTAACATTACCTTCAGAGTCAGTGGAAGTGTAGGTAGAAGTAGTCAATTCTTCTTCACTGGTGTGAGAGACTGGGTAGGTAGTAGTACCGGTGGTAACATTACCTTCAGAGTCGGTGGAAGTGTAAGTAGAAGTGGTGACTTCTTCTTCACTGGTGTGGGAGACTGGGTAGGTGGTGGTACCGGTGGTAACATTACCTTCAGAGTCGGTGGAAGTGTAAGTAGAAGTGGTGACTTCTTCTTCAGAAGTGTGAGAGACTGGGTAGGTGGTGGTACCGGTGGTAACATTACCTTCAGAGTCGGTGGAAGTGTAAGTAGAAGTAGTAAATTCTTCTTCACTGGTGTGAGAAACTGGGTAGGTAGTAGTACCGGTGGTAACATTACCTTCAGAGTCGGTGGAAGTGTAGGTAGAAGTAGTCAATTCTTCTTCACTGGTGTGGGAGACTGGGTAGGTGGTGGTACCGGTGGTAACATTACCTTCAGAGTCGGTGGAAGTGTAAGTAGAAGTAGTCAATTCTTCTTCACTGGTGTGAGAGACTGGGTAGGTGGTGGTACCGGTGGTAACATTACCTTCAGAGTCGGTGGAAGTGTAAGTAGAAGTAGTCAATTCTTCTTCACTGGTGTGAGAGACTGGGTAGGTAGTGGTACCGGTGGTAACATTACCTTCAGAGTCGGTGGAAGTGTAAGTAGAAGTGGTGACTTCTTCTTCAGAAGTGTGAGAGACTGGGTAGGTAGTGGTACCGGTGGTAACATTGCCTTCAGAGTCGGTGGAAGTGTAAGTAGAAGTAGTCAATTCTTCTTCACTGGTGTGAGAGACTGGGTAGGTAGTGGTACCGGTGGTAACATTACCTTCAGAGTCGGTGGAAGTGTAAGTAGAAGTAGTCAATTCTTCTTCACTGGTGTGAGAGACTGGGTAGGTAGTGGTACCGGTGGTAACATTACCTTCAGAGTCGGTGGAAGTGTAAGTAGAAGTGGTGACTTCTTCTTCACTGGTGTGAGAGACTGGGTAGGTAGTGGTACCGGTGGTAACATTACCTTCAGAGTCGGTGGAAGTGTAAGTAGAAGTGGTGACTTCTTCTTCAGAAGTGTGAGAGACTGGGTAGGTAGTGGTACCGGTGGTAACATTACCTTCAGAGTCGGTGGAAGTGTAAGTAGAAGTGGTGACTTCTTCTTCACTGGTGTGAGAGACTGGGTAGGTAGTGGTTCCAGTGGTAACATTACCTTCAGAGTCGGTGGAAGTGTAAGTAGAAGTAGTCAATTCTTCTTCACTGGTGTGAGAGACTGGGTAGGTAGTGGTACCGGTGGTAACATTACCTTCAGAGTCAGTGGAAGTGTAAGTAGAAGTAGTCAATTCTTCTTCACTGGTGTGAGAGACTGGGTAGGTAGTAGTACCGGTGGTAACATTACCTTCAGAGTCGGTGGAAGTGTAAGTAGAAGTGGTGACTTCTTCTTCACTGGTGTGAGAAACTGGGTAGGTAGTGGTACCGGTGGTAACATTACCTTCAGAGTCGGTGGAAGTGTAGGTAGAAGTGGTTACTTCTTCTTCACTGGTGTGGGAGACTGGGTAGGTAGTAGTACCGGTGGTAACATTACCTTCAGAGTCGGTGGAAGTGTAGGTAGAAGTAGTCAATTCTTCTTCACTGGTGTGAGAAACTGGGTAGGTAGTGGTACCGGTGGTAACATTACCTTCAGAGTCGGTGGAAGTGTAGGTAGAAGTAGTCAATTCTTCTTCACTGGTGTGAGAGACTGGGTAGGTGGTGGTACCGGTGGTAACATTACCTTCAGAGTCGGTGGAAGTGTAAGTAGAAGTGGTGACTTCTTCTTCAGAAGTGTGAGAGACTGGGTAGGTGGTGGTACCGGTGGTAACATTACCTTCAGAGTCAGTGGAAGTGTAGGTAGAAGTGGTGACTTCTTCTTCAGAAGTGTGAGAGACTGGGTAGGTAGTGGTACCGGTGGTAACATTACCTTCAGAGTCGGTGGAAGTGTAAGTAGAAGTGGTGACTTCTTCTTCAGAAGTGTGAGAGACTGGGTAGGTGGTGGTACCGGTGGTAACATTACCTTCAGAGTCAGTGGAAGTGTAGGTAGAAGTAGCCAATTCTTCTTCACTGGTGTGAGAGACTGGGTAGGTAGTAGTACCGGTGGTAACATTACCTTCAGAGTCGGTGGAAGTGTAAGTAGAAGTGGTGACTTCTTCTTCACTGGTGTGAGAGACTGGGTAGGTAGTAGTACCGGTGGTAACATTACCTTCAGAGTCAGTGGAAGTGTAGGTAGAAGTAGCCAATTCTTCTTCACTGGTGTGGGAGACTGGGTAGGTAGTAGTACCGGTGGTAACATTACCTTCAGAGTCGGTGGAAGTGTAGGTAGAAGTGGTGACTTCTTCTTCAGAAGTGTGAGAGACTGGGTAGGTGGTGGTACCGGTGGTAACATTACCTTCAGAGTCGGTGGAAGTGTAGGTAGAAGTAGTCAATTCTTCTTCACTGGTGTGAGAAACTGGGTAGGTAGTGGTACCGGTGGTAACATTACCTTCAGAGTCGGTGGAAGTGTAGGTAGAAGTAGTCAATTCTTCTTCACTGGTGTGAGAGACTGGGTAGGTGGTGGTACCGGTGGTAACATTACCTTCAGAGTCGGTGGAAGTGTAAGTAGAAGTGGTGACTTCTTCTTCAGAAGTGTGAGAGACTGGGTAGGTGGTGGTACCGGTGGTAACATTACCTTCAGAGTCGGTGGAAGTGTAAGTAGAAGTAGTCAATTCTTCTTCACTGGTGTGAGAGACTGGGTAGGTGGTGGTACCGGTGGTAACATTACCTTCAGAGTCGGTGGAAGTGTAAGTAGAAGTAGTCAATTCTTCTTCACTGGTGTGGGAGACTGGGTAGGTGGTGGTACCGGTGGTAACATTACCTTCAGAGTCGGTGGAAGTGTAAGTAGAAGTGGTGACTTCTTCTTCAGAAGTGTGAGAGACTGGGTAGGTGGTGGTACCGGTGGTAACATTACCTTCAGAGTCGGTGGAAGTGTAAGTAGAAGTAGTCAATTCTTCTTCACTGGTGTGAGAGACTGGGTAGGTGGTGGTACCGGTGGTAACATTACCTTCAGAGTCGGTGGAAGTGTAAGTAGAAGTGGTTACTTCTTCTTCACTGGTGTGAGAAACTGGGTAGGTAGTAGTACCGGTGGTAACATTACCTTCAGAGTCGGTGGAAGTGTAAGTAGAAGTGGTTACTTCTTCTTCACTGGTGTGGGAGACTGGGTAGGTGGTGGTACCGGTGGTAACATTACCTTCAGAGTCGGTGGAAGTGTAGGTAGAAGTAGTCAATTCTTCTTCACTGGTGTGAGAAACTGGGTAGGTAGTGGTACCGGTGGTAACATTACCTTCAGAGTCGGTGGAAGTGTAGGTAGAAGTAGTCAATTCTTCTTCACTGGTGTGAGAGACTGGGTAGGTAGTAGTACCGGTGGTAACATTACCTTCAGAGTCGGTGGAAGTGTAAGTAGAAGTGGTGACTTCTTCTTCACTGGTGTGTGAGACTGGGTAGGTGGTGGTACCGGTGGTAACATTACCTTCAGAGTCGGTGGAAGTGTAAGTAGAAGTGGTGACTTCTTCTTCACTGGTGTGAGAGACTGGGTAGGTGGTGGTACCGGTGGTAACATTACCTTCAGAGTCGGTGGAAGTGTAAGTAGAAGTGGTGACTTCTTCTTCAGAAGTGTGAGAGACTGGGTAGGTGGTGGTACCGGTGGTAACATTACCTTCAGAGTCGGTGGAAGTGTAAGTAGAAGTAGTCAATTCTTCTTCACTGGTGTGAGAGACTGGGTAGGTGGTGGTACCGGTGGTAACATTACCTTCAGAGTCGGTGGAAGTGTAAGTAGAAGTGGTTACTTCTTCTTCACTGGTGTGAGAAACTGGGTAGGTAGTAGTACCGGTGGTAACATTACCTTCAGAGTCGGTGGAAGTGTAAGTAGAAGTAGTCAATTCTTCTTCACTGGTGTGGGAGACTGGGTAGGTAGTAGTACCGGTGGTAACATTACCTTCAGAGTCGGTGGAAGTGTAAGTAGAAGTAGTAAATTCTTCTTCACTGGTGTGAGAGACTGGGTAGGTGGTGGTACCGGTGGTAACATTACCTTCAGAGTCGGTGGAAGTGTAAGTAGAAGTGGTTACTTCTTCTTCACTGGTGTGAGAAACTGGGTAGGTAGTAGTACCGGTGGTAACATTACCTTCAGAGTCGGTGGAAGTGTAAGTAGAAGTAGTCAATTCTTCTTCACTGGTGTGGGAGACTGGGTAGGTAGTAGTACCGGTGGTAACATTACCTTCAGAGTCGGTGGAAGTGTAAGTAGAAGTAGTAAATTCTTCTTCACTGGTGTGGGAGACTGGGTAGGTAGTAGTACCGGTGGTAACATTACCTTCAGAGTCGGTGGAAGTGTAAGTAGAAGTGGTGACTTCTTCTTCACTGGTGTGAGAAACTGGGTAGGTAGTGGTACCGGTGGTAACATTACCTTCAGAGTCGGTGGAAGTGTAGGTAGAAGTGGTTACTTCTTCTTCACTGGTGTGGGAGACTGGGTAGGTAGTAGTACCGGTGGTAACATTACCTTCAGAGTCGGTGGAAGTGTAAGTAGAAGTGGTGACTTCTTCTTCACTGGTGTGGGAGACTGGGTAGGTAGTAGTACCGGTGGTAACATTACCTTCAGAGTCGGTGGAAGAGTAAGTAGAAGTGGTGACTTCTTCTTCACTGGTGTGGGAGACTGGGTAGGTGGTGGTACCGGTGGTAACATTACCTTCAGAGTCGGTGGAAGTGTAAGTAGAAGTAGTCAATTCTTCTTCACTGGTGTGAGAAACTGGGTAGGTAGTGGTACCGGTGGTAACATTACCTTCAGAGTCGGTGGAAGTGTAAGTAGAAGTGGTGACTTCTTCTTCAGAAGTGTGAGAGACTGGGTAGGTGGTGGTACCGGTGGTAACATTACCTTCAGAGTCGGTGGAAGTGTAAATAGAAGTGGTGACTTCTTCTTCAGAAGTGTGAGAGACTGGGTAGGTGGTGGTACCGGTGGTAACATTACCTTCAGAGTCGGTGGAAGTGTAAGTAGAAGTGGTGACTTCTTCTTCAGAAGTGTGAGAGACTGGGTAGGTGGTGGTACCGGTGGTAACATTACCTTCAGAGTCGGTGGAAGTGTAAGTAGAAGTGGTGACTTCTTCTTCACTGGTGTGAGAGACTGGGTAGGTGGTGGTACCGGTGGTAACATTACCTTCAGAGTCGGTGGAAGTGTAAGTAGAAGTGGTGACTTCTTCTTCACTGGTGTGGGAGACTGGGTAGGTGGTGGTACCGGTGGTAACATTACCTTCAGAGTCAGTGGAAGTGTAAGTAGAAGTAGTCAATTCTTCTTCAGAAGTGTGAGAGACTGGGTAGGTAGTAGTACCGGTGGTAACATTACCTTCAGAGTCGGTGGAAGTGTAAGTAGAAGTAGTCAATTCTTCTTCACTGGTGTGAGAGACTGGGTAGGTAGTAGTACCGGTGGTAACATTACTCTTTGAATTAGTGGAGTTGGATTCAGTCTTACTGTTACTTGTTCTTGTAGTTTGTAATTTTGATGTGGTTTCAGAACTGATTGATATCTTTGAAGTTGATTCTTTGCTGGTTTCTGTTAAATCAGCATTTACAGAGAATGACTTCGAATCCGTTGAACTGAAAGAAGAACAGCTTGATGATGGACTGCCTATTGATTCTAGATCTGTAGAACTTGGATTGGTAACAACTATTGAGGATATATCGTTACTGTATAGGGAAGAGTTATAATAAACAAATGAAGAAGATATGGTACTAACACTAATTGATTTGAAGACAACATTGAA